GGTAGGGCTGGCAGAGCATGGCTGGGGATTGAACCTTAGCCTCTGTGCTCTGCCTAAACAGGTGCTTTAGTCTGGCTGAGTAATCTGGCCGGCCCTAATTTTATTTTTTTATGCAAAAAGATCTGGATAAGATCTTGTGAGTTAAATCTGATAGTATATGAAAAATACATGCAATTGATCAAATACTCTGGAATTTTTCTTGAGGAATACAAAGACATTCTAATAATCAGAGAGTTAGTTCTAGTAAGGGGAAAAACTCTGTAAATAAGAATACATCAATAAAATTTAGTATCTATTCGTTATTTTTTTTTAATATATCCACAGCATGATGAGTAAGAGCTATCATAATGCAAGCAGCTCAGCCAGCCTGAAGCTTAAAAACATCAGGGACATTTACAATATAATCAGGAGGAAAACAGACAGATCAACATTATTATTTATCACATTTTTATAAGCAAAATGAAAATAAAGAATACATAAATGTAACAGAATAAAGCCATTATCAATAAAAAACATTAAAATCAATGAAGGCTATTAATACTAAAATGGTTACAGATTCACTCCAAGTGGAAATGTCATTCAAAAGAAACTCTGTATGAGGCAAATTTAAAGTATTATAAAAGTACCCTAGAGTCTTAAGGGACACACACACACACTCACACAGAATTCAGTATGCATTGATTATTGACACTGACTTATCAGCTCGGCAATTATGGTTTAACTAAAACAAGTTCAGGAAAAGGCTAATTAACATTTATCATTTTCCCCAGGCTTCGAAAAGAAGAATATCATGTTTCCTCTCAGAATACATTCCTGAATTTTTAACGTTTTAAGCATATGAAAGAGATGTAAAAGAGCACATATGAAAGGCTAAAGATTTAGAACCCTAATTCAATTTCCCTTCACATTTTTATAGGAGCCTATAGCAAATGTTTATTTTTAGAAATATTTTTGGTAAAGAACTGAACAAAAGGCTATTGTGTATTAAACATAGTAAGGTTTCTTTGGTTCCACCTACATCAACTTTACAACATCAGGTTGGAATTAGTTGATCTTAAACTTTAAATCACTATTTCCAGACCTCAAAATCTATTCCAAACTTATCAGAACATATAAGTTCTAAGTAAGTTTTAGCTAAGTTCAAACGTGAAATCTGTACCTTTCAAGTGCCAATAAAATAATTTTCAGATTTTAACGATAATCTTCAAAATGTCCAAAAATGCCATATTTACTTTTCTAACAAAAGCTTTTCCATCTGCCCTTGATAAATTTACTGACTATATAATTTTTTTCTGATGAAAAGCATATGGATATCAGTTATATTATTCTCTATCACTTTATTATAAAGTAGGAATCATGACTTTTTCTCTAAGGTAAAGTAAAACAAAGTTCACAGGCCTGCCCTGACTACTATGAAATTCTCTGTGTTAATCTGTGATGTGTGTCCTGTAATAGGCCTCATAAAATGCAAATGGAAACAAGAATTTTTCCACAATGAGTAGTGTGGTCATTTTAATAAAACACATATACAACTTCTTAGACACGTCTTCCGTCCAGAAGGTGAAGACAGACGCCTCCTTTTGGACACAGGCCAGGCCTGGGACCCCACTTCTAGTCAACAGGTTGTGACTGCCATGAAGCTGCAGGAGTCATATAGGTGCTAGGCTGCATATAGTTTCTCATGCAGCCTGGACTCAGGCTACTCACCCCAGCAACCTGAGGGCTGGAATCTCAGGTTCAGTACCCTTGGGTTCCCATCAACCTTCTGGCCTTGGAGGCTGTCCCTGCTTTAACACCATATTCCCTGGCTACCTCTCTTCCCCTGTCTTAAATTTACTGCTCCCTTTGAAGATCTGTCTTTATTAAACAACCTGGATTATAAAAATCTTGCTACTATGAATATGCATTATGTTCTTTATCAATGTACACATGTAACTGGCCTGAGAAGGTTATTCTATAACTCTGAGGCTGATAACCAGTCCAACATGTTTTGATGGAGCCATTTAAATGGGTTATCAGTCCAACCAAGTAACCACATTAAAATATTCATTGCTTATTCTAATGAACAGTCATACTGGGAATATTCTAAAACAAACACAACCTTTAGAAGTTAGACACTTAGGAGACACTCTGAGATAGTTTTAATTTACATTTTTTTTTTAGCCACTAGGACACTGACAAAAGTAAGTATATAAATACACTTATGTAAGTATAATGTACTTATAAATACAGTACTAAGAATTTTTGCCTTATTCATTTCTTCTGGGATATCAAACTGCCATTATATAATGGCAATTTTACAGTTCAATTTTGTTAACCTTTTCTTTTCTTGGGGGGGGCTACAGGGTCTCATTACACAGCTTGGACTCCCTAGTGCTGGGATTATAGGCACGCACTACCACATCCAGTTTTGGTAGTCAGCACAGCACACCAGGGGTTCCAGGTACCAGCACAGCATGTGGTACTGAGGATCAAACTTGGGTCCTTGCACTTGCCAGGCAGGCACTTATACTGCTATCTCCCCAGCTCATATTAACATATTTTATACAGTTGTTAATATTTTATAGCTATAGCAATAAAATATGTTCTGTAAATGTTACTCAATTGTATGTCTTTAAAGTTAAAGATAAATGATAATATAGTATGGAATAACTGTGAACCCAAACCTAATCTTAGGAAAAAAATTATAAGCAATATTCTGGTTCCATCATAAGAAAGGTTAGCAGCCATAGCCCTCATGCAAGTCATTTAGGAAACCAATGCTACTGACACTCAAGGCTACACCACCAGCCTGAGCCACAAAATCATGATTGGAATTACTTTTGGTACACTCAAGCTTCCTAGTCATGCAGAAAGCCAATTTAGATTTGGATTCACAGAAAGAAAATTACTGCATGTTTCAATGCAAAAGGCAAATTAGAATGGCAAGGTGGGTTCTAAATCTTCACATGGAATACACAGTCCTTCTGAGGGGGCATCTTCTCAAAGAAAAGCAATCATACTGCAACAGAGGGGCCCCAGGCACCACCAACAGACCAGGTTCAGGTGGTGAGTAGAGTTGACAGTGTGGACTGGCAATGTGAAAGCACTTCATAAGCCAAGACTGCTGGCTTCAACTATAGAAGCTGTAAGGATAAAGCCCCCAGTCTTGGGCCTCTCTTGCAGCTAAGGCCATATGACCAGACTATAAAAATAAGAATATATACAGCTGTCACCAGAAAGGACATTTCTTCCTGAATAAAAATATTAATTCTCTTAGAAGGCCTTGTTCCCTCTTCCTATAAAGAATTTTGGAGAACAAGAGTCATTGTGGTCCTTGCCATGAGGACAAAAGCCACATGCTGATGTCTACAGAGCAGGAGAGAAGGAGGCTAGCTCCCTGGTGACATGTGGGAGCCACTAGAGCAGCCCTGGCTGTCTCTCCTGGGGCTTCCTAATAAGTGAGTTTTAAGATTATGCATTTCACTTTTGGTTACTCATAGCTAAATACAATTCTAGTTCTTCCAGAAAACAAGCCTGACTTTTCTTCCTCAAGTCATTTTGTCTCTAAGTGGTGAACCCAATCTGGTTTGTTCTCAGATTGGTAAACATGGCAAACAGATGTTCAAGTACCTTTACCTTCACCCCCACTCCTTTTACCACCTCACAATGTTTGAAAAGATAAATGAAAGAGTGAGGCATGTATCTATTTTCTCCAAGAAAAAAGGAACAATCTTGGCTTACAATAGGTCCCCCTATACCAGAAGGCAAAAACAAGTCTGCCTCGAGAGGCAGAAAAAAGAAAAATAGCATCCATCCTTATAGAATACATGATCTCAGTCTTGGACAATATTTAGAAATCCAACAACTGAAAGAAGAAAACCAGAAATTAACGTATACCATGTTATCAGCCTCTACTCAGAATAGAACACAAACATGGAAGAAATATTACAAAAGTATCCACTTGACAGAGTATCATTCCTTTCCATTGTGCAGCATGTGGTCTCAAGGCACATCCCAGTATGTAACAAAGGGACTGTACTATGTCTCAGCAGTACTTTACTCCACAGCAGGCTGCGAGACAGAGCAGAGTGCATTTCATCCTTCCTAGATATGCTTTCTGCTAAAGCTGCATGTGCTACATACAATTCTTTCAAAGTCCAGTAGTATTTTCCAAAAGAATGGAAAGAACAGCTAACACCAACAAGAAGCTAGGGTTCTACTAATCTCATACAAAATGGCTTTAAATTAATTTAAAAATATAGAAAAAAAAAACCCAACTAACTTTGCAGGGGAGAGGTGAAATAATCTGGCAAATTTCTGGAGTTATCCAGTTATTCTGGATCAATATCCAAAGATTTTCCTCTAAAACTTAAAGTCTCAGTCTGTACTATCATTCAATGAATAGCTCTTCAGGTGAGCGTTTAGAATCCATGGGCACACTGGAATCCAGCTTCTCACAGTATGCTCTGGCTCCTGTGAGAATCCAAGAGAAAGTCCTCACGCTGAGTCTTTGAGGTTACATGAAGCATCTCAGACCATAAAACTTCTACACATGATAGGCAGAAGCCAAGCAGGTAATATACAGCAAAAATTGACAGCTGACAACCAAACTCTTGTTAGAAAAGCAATTCCAGAGCATAAAATGCACTGGAGAAAACGAGTTTAAATAGACCTTACATCAGAATGGTTTCCAAAAATTTACAATCAAATCTGTAGAACCACAAATACTTTAGCCATCTAAACTGATTTAACATGAGTAGAAATTCTTCTTGTTCCAAAATAAATGGGACACTAGCTAAGGACAGAGCATTCAGTAAGTATACTTGATTAGTATACACGTTTGAAGTATAGCTATCGTAATAGCAACCAACACATTCACAAGCTGTTTACTGAAGTATACTAAGTTAAACACACCAGAGGAAAACAATATCAAAACTAGGGAGAAAATAATCATTTATTTCTTTCAAAAATTTCAGCTACATGCCAGGTCACCTCTATGTGACATGCAGTGTGCCTACCTAGCACGTTTCCTGGAGGCACCTCTTCCAGCTCTTCCAGTTCTCTTCCCATCAGCAGATATAGGTTTTCCAAGGTACAGTATGCCATGTGGGGCACAATGGGGAGGTCATCAGGGGAAGCTGAGAAGCCTGATGGTACCTGGGCAGAAAAAAACCATTGAGGACAAGTCAGGAGGCATGGGAAAGCATTAACACAACCTCTTCAAAGTTATTTTTATTCACCAGTAAAGTGTGGTGTAGCTGTCTTTCATATAAATATGGGCCATATGGATATGAAATAATATAACAAAATGTGTCATTTATTAATAAAATTTGAAATACTAAAATCTTCCAATGATGAAAAACTCTCCAGATTTCCATTTACTCATAATTCTAAGGTTAAGAACTATAAATCCTACTGTGATCCTGCAGCACAATTTCTGCTTGTCTCCACAGTCCCTTGGCAATAGTGATGTGAACCATATCATACAACAGTTCTGGAGACTATTACGCTGTTGTTTTAATAATCATTGTTACTGTCAGAATTTTAATCATAATTTTTCAAGCATTCAACAAGGATTGATGCAATTACCTGTAACACATGAAAATTACCATCAGAGGCTATGATGCAAAGCAGCTCCACTGCTGCTGGAGAAGGGGGCAGACACTGGTATCCTCTAGGTTACGCTGGCCTCATAGGCTTATAGAATGTAAGATTTGTGTTGTCAGACAGGCTTCCACCTAGACTTCAAGAAAAAGTCTGGGGGACCAAGGAGTGTGTTCTTGAGAAGGCAATGTATGGAGCTTTGAGCATGGAACCAAAAAATACAGTGAAGGTACCAGAAAGCTGGAGATACGTGAAACACATGACCTCAGCTGGGGGAAGTAGTATGCAGTGAGAAAAGCCACTCCGAGAGACACAGTACCATAACTGGAACTATTAACACTGTAGTAGCAGAGCAGCCTAAGCCCATTGGAGCCCACATCACTGTCCTGACCGTTGGACACCAAGAGACAGGATTTCATGGAGGCTTTGCTGGGTTTGGGGCTTTGTTTTGGCCCTTTTGTTTCTATGTCCTTATTCTTCCCATATGGAATGAAGTGTTTACATTGTACCACCTGTGATGCAAGTGTTTAACTTTATTTTTTTATTTTTACAGAGGCTCATAAACAAGAGCTTGTCTTAAGTCTCACTGGAGACATTGTACTTGGACCTTTTAGTAATGCTAGAACTGGAAGAACTGAGTGATTACTAAAGATTCCATTTTGTATCTGTGTATTCAAAATGGTTAGGATAGATATATAGTTACATTCTCTTAATGAATAGAGGGATTTGTTCTAATAGTGTTTGTAAATAGGATATCATGTCCACATCTTGTATAGCAATTAACCACTAGGAAGAATGTATGCAGTGTGCTAATTATTGAAAATGTCCTACCGATTTGGTTCAAAACTGTTTCATTGCTATTTGTTTCTCAATAAAATTATGGAAAACTCCAATTGAAAAAAAAAAAACAACAACAGATATGCCATGAAAAAATCCAAACAATTGCTATGATATGACATACTGGTAATGTGGAAGACAGCACCTTACAAAATCTCAGGAACACTGACATGAAGACATAGTAAACATACAGCAAAACCATGCTGCACATGCAAAAGATGTGTGAGCTCCTCCTAGAGCAGGTTTATTCTGAAGGAGATACTGTCTTGGAGGATACAAGGTTTGAGCTCTGTAAACTCTTCAGAAATGCATCCTCCACATAAATCCAAGTAGTCAGGAAGTATTTCAATCAATAATCAACATATCTTTGGTTCCCATCAGTTCACGGTGCTATGCTAGTGCTAAGAAGAAAAAAAATCTCAGATACAACATTTGCAAAGATAATGATCATCGCAAGTATAGTAACTGCCACAATGTTGTACAGGCAATTAAGTTTATAAACGCTTGGTGGAAGGAGGGTCTTCTGCACTTAGGTAGACTAGGAAACATCATAAAAATGATTATCATTCCAGCACATGCTGCACCTAAATGTACGTGTTTTTATAAAATCACAACTCTACAAGGCAAATCTGAAGACAGGTTGGAAAAATTTAAAATATAAAGATAAAATATAAAGATAGACGGGATAAAAAGCAATAGGATTATCCACAGATAATATGGCATACACTTAAAAATAAATTACATATAAGCTGCTAGTAAAACAGCAAGGCAGAAAAGATGCAAGATCAAGACATATACATTAGAGACCCAGTCCTAGCCCAGGTCCGGTGAGTGTGCAGAGAGTTTCCTGCTACCCTG